ACGTTTTTAGGCTTTTTTCTCTCACTGCATAAACCGCCAAGCGTTTCAGTCAGAGAGACCGTGGCCGACTTGACCAGTTTCGTTTTAACTTTTACTTAAAAAACTTTTAGCACCTTTTGTTTTGTGTTTTCTTATTTTTATTTTTTATTTTATTTTATTTTATTTTATTTTATTTTATTTTTGCTTTGTTCCTTAACTATGGATTTCAAAGAAAAATAGAGGAAATAAAACTTGGCCTCCAAGATGTTTTAGAGGGTTTGAAATTGCGTTTCCTTGGGCAATTCGTTAGCTACCTGATCCTGGTCCCCGAGGTTTTCTGTCTTCCTTCTACTGACGCAAAAGAAAAAAAAATAAACTCTTTCTTCAATGCCCAAATTTGACAAAGAAAAGTAAAGAAAACAAAAACCTATCGGATCAGGATAGTGGATCACGCTTGAATTTAACACTCGCTTATTTCCCTTCACTACCAAAATGTAGAGCTGTATGAAACGGCTTGACATTTAGAGTAATGACCCGGGTGGATAAATCGCTATCTAGTGGATAGTGATTCATCCGGTTGATAGCGTTATCCACCTTTCAAACAACCCCGGCCGGGACACTTCAGGGACTTCCATGTAGCGGTTAGAACTATCCTGTAGAGCAGTATCAAAGTACTTATTAATTACTTTCATTTAAATAGTCACACATTGTCGAAGACGTCTGACGAACATAGCGTGGTTACAATATTGCCCAGCAAAGCTAACCGCAAACAGTCTTTACTTATTAGAGGCAGAAGCAATAACTTATCTTAGTTTGCGCGAGGAACGCTCCTACCCGTTCATACCTGTTCTAATTGTTTCTTCTAGAACAATTAGCGACTAATAATTCCATGAGATCAGGGCAAATATTCTCCCTATCTTTCTACCCTTGTTGAGTTTTCACAAGTTTCAAATCTATCCCTGCTCCTTGCTAATTAGCTATTCTGTCTGCTAACCAATAAAGTACACCAACGCTTCCAAAATTAATGAGTCGATCACTTTGTTATCCATGGGTTCTGTGTACCAGAATTCACACCACAGGTAGTTGAATAAATTAGCCTCTGGGACGAGAGTAAAACGTTCAAGTTTGATGTGGAACGATCAATATTTGCTAGGGCCATCACCAAAGGGTGGGGAAACAATACGAACTACCTTTTAATCAGTTCATCTTTCGGAAGTTTTCGTCCTGTTGATGAATTTCAAAAATAGCGCGTTAGCGAAGAAAAATTCACTTTTGTTTCTTTCAAGTTTTCTTTGGGATGAATAAATTCCTGAAGGCGGATAACTAACCCTTTTTTTATAAACTGGAACAATTAGTCTCAACCAGTTATGAAATTATTACAGTGGAACCTCGATATAACGAAGGACCAAGGGACTGGCAAAATATGTTCCCTATAACGTGGTTTCACTGTCTCGAGGTTTACTGGTTATACCGAGGACTCCGTCAAATAGAGGTTCCTTAATCGAGGTTCCACTGTATAAACGTTCCCTTTACAGTACGGCAGCATTTCACTTTACGATATACACTTCGAATGTATACTACTGATGTCCATCCCTGACTCCAATTTTAGTACTGTAGTATCTATCGATACGGGAAGTAACTACAAGTACGCAAGGCGGACCTATTTTTAAGAGCTGGGCTGAGGAACTGGCGCCTAAATAGACAATTATGGGTACTCCGCTGGGACTTTTAAATTTGGCGTCAAAATCCCAGGTTCCATTCAGCCTTTCACTGTGAAAATCATATGGTCAAGTTTCGAAAATCGCAGGAAGCATCGAAGTAGGTTTATGTAGCAAATAATGCAACAGAAACAAATGTAGCTGTAGATCAAGAAATCTTGCCGATCTCACCCTCTCCAAGTGGAATAAGCGTATGACATTGCGCGGGAGAAATTTAATACTGTCGCACGACTCAAGTAACAGTGTTGAGGTACTTTGAATTTTCATGAGCTGAAGTGATGAAGTTGTGATCGCTAAAGCTAAACATCATGGTAAACTGTAGAGGATTCTTTTTACCCAAAGAAAAGGACTCGAACGAAGAGCGAGCAGACTCCGAAGACGACAGTGAAAGTGACAATGACGATTTCGAGAATCCTGATTACCACGACATTATTCAGATATCCAGCGGAAAATATCAGTCGTATAGCCCATCGAGAATCCGATGTGTCGCCGAAAGGCTGCAAGAACTGGAGGACCGGAATGGACGTTCTATTTCAAAGGGGGAAAAGGTTGTGCGCGCTCGATTTGACAGCAAGTTTTCAGAGCCATGGTGGATGGTGGAGGTGATTGAGATCAACACAGGTTCGAGAACGGAGCGACCGGAGAAGATTCCTTCTTACAGCATTCGATGTGACGATGGAGTCGACAAATCCCTGTTGTCGTTGTTCCTGACGAGAGGATGCTGTGTAAATGAGCAGCATGTCGCTTCGTTCTTGGAATTTACTGAAGACAGAAATTTGAGAATGACGTTTGTGGATCTGCTGGGCAACTTGAGGGAATTCGCTAGCAGCGGTGAAATCAACAGCGAAATCGCCGAGCAGATTCGAAGAAGCTTCGCATCTAAGCGTGAGTTAATGCCGCAGTTTTGTTCAGGTCTCGATATAATGTATGTTAGTTGTGGCTACTTTTTTGTATTGAAGCGCTCTCTCCGCGATTCTGAACAGTGTTCACGCGAGTCACGCAAACGTTGGTATTGTTGGCCACCATTGTATGATTCACATCCAGCTGTATCAGAATTTTTGACAACTCAGCTGATTTCTGTTTTGGCTTTTGAAAATACTTCATCTTAGATCCCATTCCAGGATAAAGTTTAAAAGACATTGAAAACAAAACGCATTCAAATTCATCAGGGTTTCAGTAACATTTTCAGCATGAGGGCAACTGGTTTTCTCAGGCAGGCAAAACTATTTGATCTGAACTTCATTGTAAGAAAAGCTTTGTTCTAGATGGTCAAACCAGCCGGGTAAAATTGTCCTCACAGCTGGTCAATTTGGCCTGTGCCTGGCCCATAATCAAATCCCTGTCGTCATACTGATAATTTAGAAGTGAATCCTTGTTTACCCCCAACTACTGAGAAACTGGGACTTTACTGATCATTACTTTATCCTTGTTTTTCCATTTTTCTTAGCCACAGGCAAAGCCTTTATGGTGCCCGAGCTTACTAAGGTTGCCCATCGTCTGTTTCCGCGCCATGCCAAAACACTGTTTTCGTCTACAAGCCTGGAGGTGTTGCAAGACATCCAGCAAGCACTTCAAAGAGAACCTTGGATTTTTGGCTACCAAGCTGTCCTTCAAGAAAGGTTTGGCATATCTGGATGCGAAGTGAAGTTGCCAGCATTTATTAATTGTGATCTCCTGGAAACTATGCCTGTCGTGCAACGTGATGCACTGTACATTTACAATGCATTGTGTAAATTGATCCACAAGTATGGCCATACCTATGTACCCCTGTGGCAATTAAAACGTGAAAACTGGTACAATGTACCTTTCACACCTGGGGCTTACCAAGTAACCAACTGGGAAGAAAGCCTAACATATCTCAGGGAGATCAATGCGGCGAAGACTGCCGGTAATGCTTATAGCAATGGATGTCCTGTGTTTTTACCACATATTCGAGGCTATGAGCAAACAATTGTTCGAAACATCTGCAAGATAATGGAGATGAGACCTTGGATTGGTGACATGGAGGTAGATGAAAAGGTAAGTTGATAAAATGATTTCACTTTTAGCCATAATCCCCTGGGGGTTTTGGGCCAGCAATTCTTCTTCGCCATGCCACACGGTCAAATGCAACCACTGCTGCCCCACTCCACAATGTAAAACCAAAGGCTGTCATTTCTTTCTCTGCTGTTCTGTGCCAGGTCTCCCTTGGTCTACCACATTGTCTCTTTCCTTCTAGAGTCCAGGTTAAAGTTACCTCCCACCTTCACGGGTGTCCTTCAGTAAAAAATTCCTACGCGCACCAGTTTTAATAAAACCCTAACAAACTATAAATCAGAAGAAAACTTAACAAATGTAGTTGATGATAAAAATAAATTTAAGCAAGTTTTTCTTTTAGGAAGTGTCAGGAGCTGGGAGTGAAATGACCGAGGGCTCCTCTATTGAATTTATCGGGTATCGGATGCCGCCACACGAGCAAAATGGCTGCACAGTCTTATTCACAGTCTCATTCACAGGGCATCGAAAGCGTGTGAGGCTTTTTCAATATTCTGATTGGTTGTCTAGATATCTGCATCTAAAGTTGGAGTAGCTAAAAATATGTGAGACATGTTGTGTAAATGAATGCCATGGGAAAACAACATGTTAAATATAAAAATTTCATGATATACTTTCATTTGTCATAATCCCTGGAATGTTCTGAAATTTTGTGAAAATTCGTCAAATCTGCATACCCTTTAAATTTGCTCAAAGTGGATGTATTCCTCCCAAAATCAAATGCGAGATTTTAGTTCACAAAGGTTTGTAAACAACTTGTGCTGTGCCAGGAGATTATCTCGCCTTATGAAACCGCAAACCAATAGAACAACAGGACCTCCCAGTGTCAATGACAATGGGTCAGGATTTCCCAGGAAAAGCATCGCATTACAACATGTTTTCTATCTCGCCTTGCATATTTAAAGAGAAAGACTAAAACGGGCAAAACAGCCAAAGGCAAAAGAATAATCAGCATAAAGACAAGTAAAGTCAGCAAAAGTACCGATAACCACAACAACAAATCAAAGTACAGATAGACCTTTGTGGCCTTCAGAGGGGTGTTTTTGTTTTCACAGAAATGGGTCCTTTCTTTCTTCTTTGGACTTGTTTGTTTCTTTTCCTCGGTCCAAGGCCATTTTTCTGTTCTGAATTTTCCACTTGAGTGTAAGTACAAAGAGCTTCTATTTGCAAATTTTGTCAAATGCGCAATATAAACAATACAAAATAACATGAAGTACAAACTTCAAGATGAGCGTTTGCTGCGAAAAGTTCCCCTGGCAGTTTCGTCCATTTCTGCGATTGTGACACCTTCCTGGTTTATTAACTTTATTTGAAAATACACTTTTTCTAAATAACTTGGCCACTTTTTGAGATTTTTAACATTTTTCTTTTGTAAACATTAGATAAAATGACTGACTTAAATTTTGTTAAATGAAAGGAAAAAACAATTGTGCCGTTGAAGGTGGGAAGTAACCTTAATGCCATCTTGGGATGTTGGTTGGCATTCATTCCGAGGATGTGGCCAATGAACCTCCAGCGCCACTAGTATATTTGTTGCTGGTGGTGCTAATGTTAGCCTGGTTACGGATCTCTTCACTGGGTATTTTCATAGGCCAGTAGATTTTCATGAGCCTTGGTAAAGTAGATTTAGGATTGCCAAAATGTGAAACTTAACTGAATTGGTGATCATTATTATTGTGCATTTCCAGAAAATATCCATTGCCACCCCATGGAAGGCCACTGGAAAATCTGAGAGGGTGAGGGGTCTCAAAAGCCAAACATTTTGTGAACCTTAACTAGATTTTCCAGTGGGGTGGGAGGGATTAGACCTAATGATCTTTCAAGAGACGGGAGATGGCATCAAATGAGTGGAAATTACTATAATTGAAATAATTTGAGTAGTAATTATTTCTATGTGAACACTACAGTCCATGATGGCCATCTGGCAATTTCTAAGCACATGCTTGTACTGTTCAACTGATTGATGTAACATAAATTCAAATTCAAACAAGTTGTTTAAGTTTCATGGGGGGTTAACTTATTAAGGAAATGACCTGAAGAAATCAAATTTACCTCAAGTTAGTAGGAAATAGTGCTGTTCAAGTTAACCGAGACTGCTGAATAAAGACTTGTCTGTACAGGTTATTCTCAAACTGAAGTAATTTATTCACAAAATACCATCCAGTATGAAAGTGTTGAAGTGTATTAAAACTGAAATGACAGAGTTGTCAGTAGTTCATGGTCTCACTGGTATTTGCAGATATAGTAATTCAGCTAGAGATAAAGCTTTACTCCATTTATTATTGGTATTGGTTTAAGGCCTTATGCGTCCCATGGCGCAACGAGGATGAATGATGATGATTGGTCAACTCAAAACTGGATTATTTCAGTTATCAATGTCCCTGGCCAGGGCTCAAACCCAAACTGCTCAATCTGGAGTCAAGCACTCTAACCATGAGGCCACTGCGGTTCCCACACCAGACGTATATAAAACTGAATATTTTTTGTTGTTGTTTCATTTATTTGCATGTGCAGGTGTTTGGTGGTGATGAAGACCAAGTCAAGGCGGCACAACTCATGACAACAACTCCTGTTGTTGTTTTGTCTGGAAGGGGTGGATGTGGCAAAACACACGTTGTTTCAACTGTACTATCAGGGGAACTGAAGGTAAAAAGAAGTCAGATTCCTGTAGAAGAGTTAACCATGCAAGATGAATGCACTACCAGTCAGTGCTCAAAAAATTTTGCTGGTGACTCTCAAACATCTCAAGACAACCGATGTTCCACAACTGCAGCTTCTTCTTGTCCTCCAGAAACCACCCAATCTCAGAATTCTGAAATCCCTCAAAGCCAGATTACAAGGAAAGACCCCTGTGGTGATGCTGTGCTGCTGACAGCACCAACTGGCAGAGCTGCTTCCATTTTGGGGAAACGTACAGGACTTCCAGCCTATACCTTACACTCTGTGATCTTCAGTTATTTCCGTTGGCTGAAAGAAGTAAAGAATGGTGAGAACCATTCAGCTTGGAAATTTTCAGGAGTCAAGCTTCTTGTTTGTGATGAAAGCTCTCTGATATCTGTGAAGGCTTTCTCCACTCTAATAAACATACTCATGAAGAAAGCTGCACTTCAACAGGTCATCTTATTGGGTGACAAAAATCAACTTCCATCAATTGAACCAGGAAATTTCCTGAATGACATTTATTGTGCACTTGAGCCTTACGGTTCTAGCATCACATTGAGAACTAATCACAGGGCAGAATCGCAACTGATTGTGGACAATGCAAACAGGATATCCCATAAAGAAATGCCATTCTTCCCTGATGATCCAAAAAGAGGATTTATTTCCCTATGCTGTCAGTCAGCAGAAGGTTGTGATGAAAACAATTCTGACGACATGGTCATCACCCAGGTTGTGAGAGATCTGCTGGACAACAAAATAAGTACAGTTACTTTACCAGAACCTCAGAGATCTCAGTTTATTGCTTTCCGTCGAAGAGACTGTCTGAACATCAATGAACTGTGTGCACAGCATTACAATAAACACTCCATCAAGAACACCAAAGGCAAACTAGACTTTCAAACTGGTGATAAAGTTTGTGTCAGAAGGAACATTGTCTGCTTTGATGCTTATACCGAGAAGGAGGTGAAATTCTGTAATGGTGAAATCTTTTTCATTAAGGAAGTTATTGAAGAAGAGGACAACCATAACAAGAAAACAACTTATTTTGCTCTTGACAATGGAGAAAAGATTGTGAAGGTAGACATGAAGATGTTGAAGAGGGCTAAGCTGTGTCATGCCTGGGCCAGGACAATCCACACCTACCAGGTACATATATTTGCATGATCAGATTGGCTGGGCTATGCTGTGATATCTTTCCTGTTCCAGGATTTCATGTCCAGGTAGACTCCTGTAATTTATCCTGGAACCTCCCTACTGCCTGGCTTGAAAACATTTGGCACATATATTTTGGGATGGTGGGAGTTACTGTACCATACTATCAGAGACAACATAAGATGAAGGATAAGAAACTTGAATGATCCCCAAATATACACCTTATTCCCATGGTAATCCCTTTCAAGTTATTTTTAGACATGGTATCCAGCTGGTTTGCCAGTAAGGTGACCAAGCATGTTCCATGGATGTTTTCATGGAGGATAAAAATTCATCTAAGTCCCTGTGAGTAAAACGTGTGTCACAGAAATGGCAATCTCTAGGCCATCCTGGAGTTTCTGAAGCTGGGAGTGATTTAAAAATAGGGGTTACCTTTGGAATGAGGCCAGTGTGGGGGATTAACTCCCTTACCCTGCATTCTCTCTTATCAGTGGCAAATTGTTTTAAAGCATGATGCATTTCAGTACTCTAGAATGCCTGCACTACATCTGCGGTGTATCTAAATTAACATGTGTTGTTTCAATGTGAACTGAATTTCTGATACACAGAAGTATGTCCCTTGGCTTTCCACGAATCTTAGAGAGATTTTTCCGAGCTCGGTTGCTGTTAAAGGGGCAGTCTCGCCAAGATTTAGTGCTTCTTGAAAATCCAATGAAGGTGTTGGTATTAATTGGATATCCACTAGTAGTTGCCGGCCTAATCTTGCTAAAATGTACCGTACTAGGTACGAAAGTTGTTTACAACTGTTGTGGCTGCGGACTAATAGGAAAGAAGTGGTCTAAAACTTGAAAACGTCGGCCCGACGTTTTCAAGTTTGACAATGTTACTTGGAGGAAAATCACTAAAAATCATTGACCTCTTAGAGATTTAATTCTATGCCTTTTTGTCTTTTAAAGGTTATTTTGTTGATCAGTGAGTGCACCTTTATAATTCTAGCATAGTTTGCACAAAAAACCTAGGAGACCTCTCGTGATACTGCCCCTTTAATTCATGAAAGTAAATTAATATCTTGCAGATAAATGAAAACTTTGCCATTTGTAATGCAGAAATGACTTTTTCATCTCTCCGTTGTTGTCGTTTTCCCCATTATCAGATTGATTTGACGTATTATCACTTTCTTTATTAAACTGAAATGAAAAGTGGTGCCTGATCATTAAAAGAAGGAAACGATTTTGCTAGCACCTGTTCAGGAAGTTATTTGGCTACCACATGAGACCACAGGCAAGGTCTTAACCTGAAAGGTGTTCAGATGTCTTGCGCATGACCAGCAAGTACACTCATTCAAGATCATAAACCCCATACATAGACATCTCTTAACACCACTTTATTATATGGCTCTGTCTCACAAGGACTGGGAACTACCAAATTCACGAATTTGATTGGCTGAAATCAATATTGAAAGCGGTGTAGATTTTCCCATCAAGACCGGCATCTAGACCGGTAATGTTTTGCAATGAACAAGTTACAAACTAGAATGGAAAATCCTTAAATATTTTCATCCAACAATATTTACTTATGGAAGTGCCAAAAAGCCCGATGAGAACAAAAAAAAAATCTGGCAGAGTTAAAGTCAGCTTATTGCCGTTCGCAANGACCTCGGTCAAGATTCTCCCATACAGACCTCCTGCTCGGTTAATAAGAGCTAAGAATTGAAGATTATTAGGTATCTGCACATCGCTCTTCCTGGATACAAATAATGTTTTGTAATGTAAGAACTTTTAAATTAGTCTACTGGTAATTGACTTAACTTTGTTTATTTAATGTATTTTTGTGTGTCTATGTTTGTTTGTGTCCCGGACCTAAACATGTATAATATTTTTAATTGGCTTCCTGGCATTTTTAACTCTTACGTTATTTCGGGTTGCCAGCACCCCTATCTTGTAACAAAACATTGTTATTTCTAACTCTGGGATGAGGTTTTTGTTGTTGCTGTTGTTGTTGTTGTTGTTGTTGTTGTTGTTGTTTGTCTCACGATTATGAACAGTTTATACAATCCCAGGGAATAAAAGGTCAAATACACTCCAATTCAACAATAAAAGCACTTGGGGGCGCTGAAGTAATATGGTTCAACTGTATCTTAAAGCAGAAGTACCTATACTCATTTTCCTTATTTTGTCTATACAGGGTTCAGAGATTGACACAGTTGTATACGTCCTAGGAAGCCCAATTTACCAAGACTGGCGTCACGTCTACACAGCTGTCACTCGAGGTGTTCGACAAGTGATAGTTGTCCATGATCCCAACCACTTGAAAAAAGTGGTGATGGTAAACAAGCCATTCCAGAGAAGGACAAAGCTAGGAGAATTTCTCACCAAAGATCTAAGCACACCATCTATTTTTGACGACGAAGAAAGTGACCCGGAAACTGACATACTCCGTAGCACTCCTTCTGCAAGTGCTGGAGATAATGAAAACGATGATGTGTTTCACAGCCAGAGTTTTGGCACCGGATATTCGTCCTGCGGTCATCAAGCATCCTGTGCGAGTCCGGAGATGACACACTCGTCTTATCATACGGCTGCCAGTTTGACCAGCACAAGCAAGGAAGAAGCTTGGGAAGATGAATTTCACGATGAAGGTGATGATGAAATCCTTGCTTGGGCCTTAGAAAGCTCCCAACAGGGAACCCAAGAAGTCAGCACCAGTTGTCCAGATCCACAAGGGTTGGACTCCACTGAACTTGCTGGTAATAACCAGCCAAGTGCAGATGTTACGAAGGAGTGCTTTGAGTATCTGTTTGAGTCCACTGGTCCTCGTGATAATAGCACCACGTCTGTTGATTTTCATGTTGCAAGAAACAACTTGAACATCAAAAAAGAGCGACGATACTCAGAGGAATGTGGTATGCAGGAAAATTCTCGTCCCTCAGCGGCATTTGAAGGCAATCAGAGTGCAGTGACTGCTGATGATTTCCTTGGGTCAAGAAATAACGTGAGAGTTAAGAACGAGCAGCAGGACAAAGCGGAAACTGGCATGGTAGAATGTTCAAGTGGTCAGTTTCTTGGGAGTCTGGCTGACCTGAGTAGTAGATTAAACGCGTTCTCTGCTACTTTTCATCAAAGATCGCCTGTGACAAACAGCACAAGTGTTCTGGACATCAATCGTAAGGCACGTTCCAGGAGATTCTCTGAGACTTCCAGTTTTCCAACTCCTCCTCAGACCCCAACCAACATCAGAAAGGCCGCACCGTTTTCATCAAGGCATTTATCCAACACGTTCCCTCGAAAAAGCAGTTCACAAAGAACATCCTCCAGCACATCTACAGGGACCCCAGCTAAGAGCAGAAGGAAATCACTTACTGCTAAATTTGACTCTGTCTGTAAAGTGTGCGAGAGCCCAATAATCGCTGGACTAGATGAAATAACCCACTTCGACAGTGGATCAGCCAAATCGTGGGTGCACCAAAAATGTGTGCACTCCAAGTAAAACTGTTAGCCAAACTCTACTCAAGCCTTTCGTGAAGATTATGAGAATAACATCGTGCTGGACCTTTGCCATCTCATGAAGTCTGTTCTTGTCTCCTCTCGTTTCATTTTTGTAGTGTACAGCATTTGCATTTTGGATATGCTGTACACGTTTTTTACAAACATGTCCAAGGTGCGCCCCAGCGTTGTTTTAAGGGCCTTTGCTGCAAAAAATCCGTCTTTTTGCTTGTTTTACAGAAACACCCATTTCAAACACGGGGTTTTAAAAGAATGTATTAGCCATTACAAGAACGTTAGGTGGTGCGCTTTCTGAGCAAAGCTTTTCGTTATAAACAGAATTTACCACCTTGGGGGTGAAGAGAATTTCCTCTACAAAATGTATCGTAAATTATCAAATTAGCAATTTTTTCACGAATCTGTTTTTATTGAAACATGTGGTAATGTCTTAGTAAGGAAAGTAAAATGTTAATGATTGTACAAGAAGTTTATCAGTTAAGAAATTGTTACCATGGTAGATGTCTATACAATTATACTGTGAAAAATTCAGTGGAAAAACGTCAGAGTTGTTAAATTGAACAGTCCAATGCAAAATTGGGAATTGTTCGTTTGGATAGTTTCAATTTGCTACGGAGAGAAATATTAATTAAACGGTCCTTGAATGAATTATGTCAGCAGTGTTTCCCAAATCAGCTGACCAACTGAACACCTTTTTGTAGAACACCGCACCAGTGTCCTTTAAAAGAACTGAAAATTGGGAAAACGTACTACATAAACCTCCTTTCCTTAAGATATCCCAGGAGTCCACTTAGAAGGCTTGTATCTCAAGACATTGAGCCCTTCAAGTGTTGTGCTCATACAACTTATCTATTCCTTTAACTTCCGGTTCCTCAACCGCGTTCTTGCTGGCTGGGAAAACCGGGGAGCCTCGAACTTATCAATCTAACTCTTGCCGGAAACTGTCGCCTCCCACCTCCCACTTCCCTCCTCCTCCACACACACCCCTCGCGACTGAAGGTTTAAAGATGGCACTGGAACTGCACCCCAAAGTTTGTGTAGTGCGTGTAAATTAAACTGCTGGCTGGGAAATTTGAACAGCAAAATTTAGTGGAAAACAGAGCTCGGACATTTCTACTTGGAAAGTAGAACGGAAAGAAAAGTTAACCAGCCTGAACTAGAAACATGCATTTCAAAGTTCAAGTTGGCTCCTTCGGACCCATGACGATCCCAGAAGAATTCTGCGGTGGAACTGGCTGTTTGAATGCCGATGTATTTTTGCTTCCCTGATTCACGAAGTTGTAGCCTTTATTAGTTTCTGTAATTCAATATGGTCAGCATACCAAAGGAACTCGTTTGTAACGGAAATTTAACCTCACTAAACCGAAAATCGTATAACACAGATAACATCAAATACTTCTACAATTTTCTGTCATAGCAGTTCAATACAACCTTGTAAATCAATAACTTGGAAAGAAACAGTTGCCAGGTTTGTTGTTCTAAAACAAAGGAAACAGCTTATCCAGTTAAAAGTTTATTTACTTGCAATCAAAGATAAATATTCCGATGGAACCTGAATCACTTAAACAGTAGAATGCCCTGGTAGCAAATAAAGAGAATAAAACCGTTGATTGATAACTCTAAATATCTAAATGTCCACTATTCATACTCCTTATTTAGTTTTTTTTTTAACAAAACAAATAGTACGAGAAATATCAATATAAAAAAGATAACATACAGCTAATCACTAAGTTCCCTTACTCAAAAGGAAAGATCTTCATTCATCTAATAGTACAATTTGGAGATGGTATTTTAGGAATCCGGATTTCTATTCCCTAAATTAGCTGTCAAAGACCGCGCTTCCACAGATTACTAAATACCATGTCCCTTGGTGATCATTAGCTGAATTCTCCTGACAGTGTGGTCCGCATTACAATGAGGAATTAAATGCTTATTATTCTTCAAACACTTAAAAGCAGCAAACAAATGTTTCAATGTTGAAATTAGTATTATTCCTCTTCGGTTTCTTTACAACAGACGTTCCTTAAGATCCTTCTTACGCTGTCTCTGATTTCCTTTATCCTCCAGTAATAAAGCAATGGATTGAAAAACGACGCAGAAAACACAATGGCGGTGAAAGCTGGCATGGCTGCTCTCGGCGATAATGTAATTCCGAAATAACCCATAATATTAACTGCTAGAAGGCCACACACGTGGGGAACGTAACTCAGTAAAAATAATGTAAGAATACACAGAATTGTAAATACAGACTTTTTGTATTTTCCGATGTCAATGGCGTTTTGATTTGTTTGTATTTGACTTTGATGGTGACGTATGATTCGAAAAACTTTGAAGTAAGCGAAGACAGTGATAAAGAAACAAAGAGCTGCACCGAAAACGAAAACAGTAATAAAGAGTTTCAAGAATTCGGTTGAATGATACCAATAGTACATAAGACTAGCGAAAAACACAATTAAAAAAAGTACAAATGTGACATAAAGCATAACGACTCGACGCACCGTAAGAAGAGATCTTCGACTCATATGCAGCCATCTTTCTACGGCTGTTATTGTCAAGGCGATGACCGTTAGGGAGGAAAAATAGTATCCAGCGATTTGTGCTATAAGACCAGCAATGCAGATCAGTTTTCTCCAGCCTGCTAATTCCGCCAGTTTGTACACAACATAAAATGGTTGAGTTAGTAACCCACTGCAAAAGTCTGTGAAGGACAAACCAGCTAGAAGAACATAAGATGGAGTCCTGAGAGACGGGTTCTTCCAGATTGCCACCAAAATAAACGCATTTCCTATCACTGTAATCGGTGCCAGAAGCGAGGTGACAACACAGACCGTAAGAGTTACTGTATAGTAACCTGAGATGCTGTCGGTGACATTAAAATCGGCCAAGAAAATACACCAGCTGTCCTCTAAACGCGACAAGTTGAAGGCCATTGCTTACTTTGAAGTTTCAAAGGCTTCAAAAAAATCATGGCAAAGGTTTTGAATGCATTTTCGCTTTTCTAACAGTACTTTTAGCGATCGTCATGGATTTTTTTTCATTCCACTCTTCGCGGCTGTACTCTTCTGTTGGCCTCTTTCGTGATTGTTGCTTGAAAACCGGTTGTCATGGGATACTCTTATTTCTTATTTTAACAACAAAGTGTTTCTTTCATTTCACTTAAGCGAGTATGCCAGCTGAACTGATTGATGCTGGAAATGTTATCAAATCATTCATGCACCACAAACAAAATCAAACACCTTGGGGAGTTTTATTTATGAAATAAACCTGATGTCGTAGTATTTGTTTTATTGTGCTCGTTTAATTATTTCACATTCACTTTTAAGAGGTTCTAAGGGTTCTAAATTCAGGGAAAATCTAAATATGGTTTAATTTTTTTACCATGGCAACTCTTGATAATTCTTTTCTTTCTTCGTGCAAATCAGTA